TCTGTTGAAAATGAAGGAAAAATCAAATATATATATATAAGCAGTGGTATTTTGGTAATTTTGGGTTTGTATGTCAAAGTAGCCCAACAATCCAACAGTTGGGGTTATGTTGGGTAAGGATAAGTGTCAAGTTTTGGGATGATTTGGGTACTTCTAATAAGGTTGGTGTGTAATTATGATTTCTCCAACATTTTTAGCAAAAGACTATTGGTTTGTTGGAGCCCTCCCATCCTTGGCAACTTCATATCGATACATAATGCCATATTTGGGCCATAATTGAACACTGCCGGCAACTCTTCCTCTGTCCAAGATTTTGGTAGATTTTCTAAGCAAAATGTAATCTCTTCTGCCAATTTCCCATGCAATGAAACTTATGCAACTATCTATGCATTGAATGCCACAACAAGTTGGTGATAGAGACTCGAATGGCATCTCCAGTTGATTGTTAATGGGGTTGCAAATCTTCTAGTTAGTATCAAATGATGTAGTTTTGGGATCAAGTTTTGCCTCCATATGTTTGCTACCCATTCCTTCTTGGCAAAGACGAGTAACATCGTTGGCTTCAAGTTTGACTGACTCGAATATTATACTTCGCCAAGCGAGCAATATTCATCCATCCATGCCTACCAAATCACTACTCTCATAATTTATCTCGAATTATTCCCGTAAGTTTGGGTTCATGGGTTCATTAATGACTTGCATATAAAGATAGTGATCAGTTGATAAAATTTGATAAGTAGGGAAATAATAAAGGAAAAAGACTTCTTTATATATATTTAGTAATGCAACCATGTATTCACTACATGCAAATTGCCATATACCTACACTATTTTTTTACTTACACTCATAATTTTGTAGGTATAACTATTTATACCTTCAATTTATTAAGTTGTGTGTTTATAATTTAAATATACCTATATATTTTTAAAAATTGTAGAAATAATATGACTTTACATACAAAAATGGCTTAATCTAGGTATCGAAAGAAGACTATACCTACAATCAAGATCAATTATAGGTATAGAAGCCACCTATAGCTATAAATTTTCAAAAATCATAACTATAGTACATTTAACTTCACAAAAGTACTATATTAAAACTTTTGATAATGTTGAGATCAAAATAATAATAATAATAATAATAATAATAATAATAATAAGTAGTTAAAAAAATAAGAATTTGTTAAGACTAAATATAATTTTTAATTTTGCATTGAATTTGAATCTCGTTGTAAAATTTTGGATAAATCTAAGAGTTTTAGGTAGTTTAAATAATAGGGTGAAGACAAGATAAATAAGAGGGTGAGAGAAGGGTTGGAACTGGGAACTTGAATGATTTGTTTATGCATGATCATTGTGATTAATTAGGAATAATCATGTGTTATGTATATATATTTATAAGTAATATGATCATTAGAATTTTAGAGTATGTTTTGTACTCCAAATATTAATAAAAATCAACTTTTATTGTTTAAAATAAACTAATAACCATAATTTTCGATATAAGTATATAGTATATTACCTTTTATATTTATTTTAATAAGCTCTTTTTTATTTTTATTTGATAGATATGTTATTCTTCATTTGGTATATGAGTAAAATTATAGAATAAAAATTGTAGAATAAAAATATCTCACATCACCTAAAAATAAAAAGTGAAGCTTGTTAACACTGTATATAAGACAATGCCTAGATCCTACATCAATTAAAAACAAAAAATATAACCTACAATTATCTTATTTGT